TAGGCAACAGCATGGAAAAAGGGGTGTCTACTTTTACTTTTATACTTTAAGTAAATTTACAAGCCTGTACTTTGTTACTTTTACTTGAGTAAAGAAGTTTAATCAGTACTTCCACTTTTACCAGAGTATTTTTTAACACAAGTATCTGTACTTTTACTCAAGTACGGAAAGTGAGTACTTTTGCCATCTCTGGTAAATTTCTAGTGTTCATGTTCTGCCTTCTCGATCTCGACTATGTATTTGACCCCTGGTTTACCCTGCTCCACCTTTCTCCTGACTGTGCTCACATCAGTTTCTGTGTTCTTGTCAATGGCCTGCATGGTTTCTGTGTCCTGCTAAACCTCTTAACGGTTTGTGGATCTCCCTTCTGATTACCATGTCTGATTATGTAGCCCTAATCATAATTCTGCCTCCACACTATTGAGCTCTGCCAGACCCTTGTTTTTCCCCTCTGGAATTCCTGGATCTATCTGTAGAATCATCTGCAAAACAGATGAATTCACCGTAGAGCAACAAAAACTCAGGATTCAAACAACTCTGCTTAAAAGAGGTTAGTGGCATTCAGTCTGAAGTTTTTCAATCTTCTGAATTGCTTTTCCATCTCTAACCTGACCCTTCTGCTCAAAATGGGACCTGATCCTGATGCTGGATGTTTGCAGGTGGCCTACTGCAGTTTTACTTTTAAAAAGATGTAAAATCCTCTGTTTGGCTGAATTTTGGGTCTTAAGAATTAATTAACTGATGTTACAGTGAAGTCAGTGGTGCCTCCAGAAAGGTTTCATAGGGGTGGCCAGATGGGAGTACTAAAAATCTTATAGTGGGACTCTGAAACTAAAAGCCATAATTTCAGGGTTTGAATCTACCAATTTTGTAAACCTGCCTGTAGTAAACGAAAACACCCACTCATATCTTGGCCTATTGTGTGATTTTTTTATTGTAACATCGCTGGCTGTGCATGATGGTATGAAATGCTAAACTGATGCTACTAAAATTTACACTGGCGAGCGGGGCGGCCAGGGCATTGCACAGGGGGGCCATGGCCACCCCTGGCCACCTCCTGGTGGCGCCACTGGTTGCAGTGAAACAGAGCCTGCTCTGGTATTTCCTCACAGTAAAAGGTATAGTGGAGGGTGTTCTTTTTCTGGATGGATCATCAAAATACGCCTTCCTCCTAATTGTCAATCATTCTGGTGATATGTTTACGTAAGGCCATGCTACATAATCATCCCCATTTTCAGTAACCGGTGGTGACTCTGACATAGTGGAAAATTGCAAATCTTCTTTTGGAAAGTCAGCTTGTATGAGTGATGTAAACAGCAACTTTTAAACAGAGTGTGCACGAGGAGAAATGGGCTCGTGCATACTCTCACTCAAATTTAATAGGAGTGGGTGAAGGGTTCTACTTCTTTTTTTTAAGTGGAGAGGGGGCGGGTCTTTTCAAAAATTCAGGAAGGTCCTCCACTGTACCTATAACAAGTCAGAAACTTTAAAAGAAGGAAAATTAGTTTTTGATAAAATGAGAAATGCAAAGATCCAATCCTAATTTTCATCTCTATCAAAGCAGTTATTAGTAGCTCTAACCCCTTTAAATCTAAAATTATACTGTAGAAAAATGGCAAAAGGTCTAGAATAACTGTTCTAGTCTCACTGCTCCAAACATTTGGTGATAGTTAAAACAAGAACCAGTAAAAATAATGTTAATCAATCAGTTGTCCCTTTAAACCAAACATTAATTATTTATCCTATGAGACTTAAAGGAATGTGAGGACCAACTAACAGCCATAAAAGGAGCTGTTCTGGGGGTTATCAACACTCTTTGAAGCGTGCTGCAAACACCTTTATCACAGGCTCTACAATGAGCTAATAATGAACTACAGAAAACAAAAATTCCTGATAGTATTAAGACAATCCTGTCCAGACATGTCAGAATACCTTTCCCCCTCACAGCAGCCAGTTTAAACTTAGAATTTTTTTTATTCCAGCTCTTAGACAGCAGCTTCACAGTCTTCTTTATATTTATACATATATACAGAATGTTTTTCTTTATATAAAATTTTGCAGAATCCTCTTTAACTTATTTCTAAACACATTTCCAAAGATTCACATCTGAACAATAATATAAACCAAAATGAAGTGAAAAGTCAGAAGACTTTAAGCAGAGACATCAGGGATAACACAATGACTCAGAACTGGTCAAATAACAGTCTAATGAAGTGGCCAGCTGAAGGAGCAAACTGGTTAGAAGCAGACAGAGACCTGATTGTTTCCTGCTAAATCTATATGTGAGGATATTGAATTCTGTTTTTTTTCTGTTTTCTCTACAGTACCTCCCCACAGCTGATTTAAGAAAGGGTTTCGAGAGAGAGTTGAACAAAAGAACTAATAAAAATAAGTTATTTTGTACCCTCAGTTTTGTCTATTTCCTCAAATAAGCTGTGCCATTGTGGAGGTAACATCCAGTTATGTTCAGGTGACACGTTTTAGGGCCAAAATGACAATCAAGTTCCACTTCACACCGATACAGACCAGAGTCTTCAGTCCTCAGTCTGGACACATGGAGTCTGATTCGTCCTTCTCTGAGGACGTCTTTGTCACTCTGGACTCGTCCTGAAAATTGTTCATCCTAAGACTCTGACATCTCAACACCATCATGGATATGATAGAATGATAATGATTTGAGAGGGCTTAACAAGCAGCAGAAGATAATCAGTTGTGTCCAGGTTCTGTTGGGTCTGGTGGTGAAGGTCCACTCCAGAGTGATGTTGTGGTTCTCCTCTGCCTGATAGGAGCTCTGTGTCACATTCACTACAAATGTTGCTGCTGAGGAGACAGAGAGGGAAAGAGAGGAGCAGACACACTGAGAACTGGAACATGGGAGTCTTTAAACTCCATCTCTAGAGGTTTCTGTCTCATGATGGTCTCTGTGCTGTCAGAGCTCTGCTTGGGTGAAATGGGTGGAGGGTGTGTTACTGTACTTAAATTATTTTGCCTTGTGGTTGTTTTTTAGCCTGCCAAGTCGAAAAAAATGTGCCTGATTCGCACCAATTC